TTTTTTTTTTTTTTTAATTTTTCTTTTCTCTTTTACCAAAAGCTCCTGAGGACATACCAAGTAACCCCAGCTAATTCTTTTGTATTTTTTGTAGAGATGGGGTTTTGCCATGTTGCGCAGGCTAATCTCAAACTCCTGGGCTCAAGCAATCCACCAATCGTTATTTCCCAAAGTGCTGGGATTACAGGGGTGAGCTACTGTGTCCGGCCTTCATATATTTTGAAGCAATAATTTTCTCATTGTTTATGGTGGGAGAGTATTTATTATGGTTGCAGTAGAAGGCTTTTTACTGGCATTTTAATCAAGTTTTGAGGAGGAGAGGAGGGTGTTACATGCATGGGGTCAGTTCGCTGTTCTTAACTAGAAGTCCTAGACTCCTGAAGTATATTTAAATACTTACATTTAAGGCTGGGCGTGTAGCTCACACCTGTAATCTCAACGCTTTGGGAGGCCAAGGCAGGTGGATCACTTGAGGTCAGGAGTTTGAGACTAGCCTGGACAATATATCAAAACCCTATCTCTATTAAAAATACAAAAAATTAGCTGGGCATGGTGGCACCCACCTGTGATCCCAGTCACTTGGGAGGCTGAGGCATGAGAATTGTTTGAACCCAGGAGGCGGAAGTTGCAGTGAGCCGAGATTGTACCACTGCACTCCAGCCTGGGTGACTCAGTGAGACTCTGTCTCAAAAACAAACAAACAAAGCATGTTATGTTTAGTAAACATGCTTTCTAAGGCAGGTGCAGGGGCCTGTAATCCCAACTACTTGGGAGGCTGAAACAGGAGGACTGCTGGAGCCTAGGAGTTTGAGACCAGCCCGGGCAACATGATGAGACCCTGTCTCAAGAAAAGGGTCAAGGCCAGGAGCGGTGGCTCACGCCTGTAATCCCAACACTTTGGGAAGCCGTGGCGGGTGGATCACAAGGTCAAGAGATCGCGACCATCCAAGCCAACATGGTGAAACCCCGTCTCTACAAAAAATACAAAAAATTAGCTGGGCGTGGTGGCGCACACCTGTAGTTCCAGCTACTCGGGAGGCTGAGGCAGGAGAATTGCTTGAACCTGGGAGGCAGAGGTTGCAGTGAGCCAAAATCGCGCCACTGCACGCCAGCCTAGCACCTGGTGACAGAGTGAGACTCTGTCTCAAAAAAAAAAAGAAAAAAGAAAAAGAAAAGGGTCAAAAGAAAAAAAAGCTTTTGGCTGGGTGCTGTGGCTCACACACCCAGCACTTTGGGAGGCCGAGCTGGGTGGATCACCTGAGGTCAGGAGTTTGAGAACAGCCTGGCCAACATGGTAAAACCCTGTCTCTACTAAAAATACAAATTAGCTGGGCGTGGTGGCAGGTGCCTGTAGTTTCAGCTTCTCGGAAGGCCGAGGCAGGACAATTGCTTGAACCTGGGAGGCAGAGGTTGCAGTGAGCCAAGATCACGCCATTGCACTTCAGCCTGGCCAACAGAGCGAGAATCTGTCTCAAAACAAGACAAAAAGCTTTTATCACTTTTATCACACAACAGATATCTCAAGCAAGGTAATCATGCTATTCACAAAATAGTAAGATTTGTACAAATTTTAATCCATAGTGTCCCACAAGCACAGGACATGGTTGTGAAATTGTATTAATACGTTGAATGTGTTCTTTCATTCCTGTTTGTGTATTATTGTAACTGTTTGTTAAACCTCACTCAGTGATAATGTCAGTGATGTAAGTTGGTAGCCCTTCCTGAAGGTGGTCTGGGACCCCTAGGATAGGTGACCTCCCTGGCCAACAGCCCCTCTGCTGCCACCCTTCAGTCCCAGGCTTACTCTTGGCAGGCAGACCACTGGGCCTTGGAGGAGAGGACCCAGCCAGGGGCCCTTGGTGGACAGGAAGGGAGGAAGGCCCTCCCTCTCCCAGAGTTACTTTCTCTCCTGTCTTCTGAGCCACTTTCCATCCACCTGACCCCAGCTCATCGTGTCTGTCTTTCCGTTGCCTTGTGAGGTGGTGAGGCAGAGCAGCCCCAGCAGGGGGTGGAGGTTGCTTCCTGCTCAGGGGCTGGTGGGCTTGGGAGGGCCGCCTCCGACGTGACTGGGGCTATACCTTCCACTCCTCCTCCTCTAGGTGGACATTGAGCAGCTGGATCCCCGCGGCCGGACTCCGCTGCACCTGGCCACCACACTGGGGCACCTTGAGTGTGCCCGTGTGCTCCTGGCTCACGGCGCAGATGTGGGCAGGGAGAATCGCAGCGGCTGGACAGGTGGGCAGCCCTGCTCATCCTGGCCCAACAGCCAGGGTCCCCCCCAGCATCAAAGACCCATGGTTGGCTGACAGGTCCTGCCCTGTGACCTTTCCTCCCCTCCCCTAGTGCTCCAGGAGGCTGTGAGTACCCGGGACCTGGAGCTGGTGCAGCTGGTGCTGAGGTACCGGGACTACCAGCGGGTGGTGAAGCGGCTGGCGGGCATCCCCGTGCTCCTGGAGAAGCTGCGCAAGGTGAGGCCCAGCCTCTCAGCCTCCACAGGAGCCCTTGAAGCCATCTCCAGCGCAGACTTAGCCTCTCTCCCCTTCGTCCTCCAGGCCCAGGACTTCTACGTGGAGATGAAATGGGAGTTCACTAGCTGGGGTAAGCGGGCTGCGTGGGGGTGCTTCTGGGCTCTCTCCCATTTTGGGTCCAGCACTTGCTCCCTGCCTGGAGTGTGTTCCTATAGCTCTTCCGGTGGCTCCCTCCATCCCTTAGCTCAGCTCAGGGCCACTGCCTCAGCAAGGCCTTTCCAGATTGCCCCAGACACGGTCTTGATTCCATGATTATTCCCTTCACCCTGTCATGATTTGCTTACTGTATTCATGACCTGCCACTCCTGGCTAGAAGTTAGCTCCCAGAGGGCAGCAGTCCTATCTTTTTCACTGTTGTATTCCCAGTGGCTGGAACAGTGCCTAAGAGTAGGTGTTTCATAAATATTTGTTGAAAGAATAGATGAACGAGTGAGTGAATGAGTTAACAAATAGTGGATACTAGGGACTTAGTGGTGACAGAAACACACCCGTCCCAACCTCAGGTTGCTCTTCTGTGTGAGTATGGTCTACAATGGCCAGGGAGTGGGGTTTGGAGGAGAGGCTGCTCTCTTTTCAGTTCCCTCCCCTGTTCCTGGCCACATGGATCCCAAACCCCATGCCCTGAGCTGGCCCAAGCTGGATGGGCCAGACCAGTCAAAGCCACCTCCAACCTCCACTTCCACCCAGTACCCCTAGTGTCCAAGATCTGCCCTAGTGACACCTACAAAGTGTGGAAGAGCGGACAGAACCTGAGGGTAGACACTACGCTTCTGGGCTTTGACCACATGACCTGGCAGCGAGGGAACCGTAGCTTCGTCTTCAGGGGCCAAGGTCAGGCAGGAAGGAGGTGGGGCAGGGTGGGGACAATGGGAGACAGCCCCACGCCACCCCTGATCCCCCTGTGCTGTTCCGTGGCTGGTAGACACAAGCGCTGTGGTCATGGAGATTGACCACGACCGCCGGGTGGTGTACACAGAGACGCTGGCACTGGCCGGGCAGGACCGGGAGCTGCTGCTGGCTGCCGCCCAGCCCACCGAGGAGCAGGTGCTGAGCCGGCTCACTGCGCCCGTCGTCACCACGCAGCTTGACACCAAGAATATCTCCTTTGAGAGGTGGGTGGGCATGGCCTTGGTCAGCCTGGAGCCAGCCTGGTGGTGCGCCTACCTCACCTGGACCACTCTGCTTCCCCAGGAACAAGACTGGCATCCTGGGTTGGCGCAGTGAGAAGACGGAAATGGTGAATGGGTATGAAGCAAAGGTGAGGCTGCAGCTCACAGCTGCCAGCCCAGGCACACTCTTGCCTACAGCAAGCTGTGCAGGAGATTCTGACCTCCCTTATCCAGCCCTGGAGGTGCAGAAAAAATGCAGCATAGTTGAGCACTTATATTTGGGTTTAAAGCACTGCCCTGATATTTTATATGGATGTATACACAGGGTGTGTGCACAAGCACACATTTAATCCTCACAACAACCCTTTCTGTAGGTGCTGTTCTATTAGTATTCCCATTTTACACGTCTATTGAGTCCTTTCCTTGGCATCCCATTTAATCTTTACAGCAACCCCAGGAAGTAGGCATGATCAGTCCATTTTATAATGAGGAAATAGAGACTTGGAGTGGTTCTGTGACCTGTACAAGGTCACACAGCAGTTAAGTGGCAGAGCTGGGGTTCATATCCTGGCTGGTCTGACCCTAGAGCCAAGGCTTTATCCCTAAAAACACTCTGCCTGTCACTCTGAGACCCCTATGTTGCCCAGCACATGAAAGCAGGAACTGACAGATGTCATAGGTTCTGCGTGTGGCATTTCCTCTAAAAGCCTCCCCTACTTCTGTATGCTGGGAAGGCCTCTGTGCTACCCCCACCAACACATGGACCATGCTGTTATAACTCCATTTTAGTGTCTCCTTATAGAGATCGTAAGCCTCAGGAGGGCAGGGATCATGTCTGGCTTGTTCACTGTATCCCTGATGCCTACCTCAATGCCTGGCACGTAAAGGCTCCTCAAAAAAGTGTTTGTTGAGTGAATAAGTGAATGAATGAATGACCTGATGTATTTATTTACCCAAAGGCCTGGAGCAGAGTCTCTCCAGGACACTTTGCTTACAGGAAGTATTCCCAGTGCCCTTGGGGGTAAGACACAGTTGGGACCAGAACTTCCTATACGCCCTTTCTTCATCTGTCCCCAGGTATATGGGGCATCCAACGTGGAGCTCATCACCCGGACACGGACAGAGCATCTTTCAGAACAGCACAAGGGCAAGGTCAAAGGTAATGAGGCAGAGGTGGATGGGAGAGGTGTTGCAGGACTGCAGGAACCAGCTCCCACTTCAGCCTTTCCATCAGTATTCCCACTGGCATCCTAGCAAGAGCCCAGTTGCTTTATTCAGGCAAATAGATTTCATTTCAGGTGCCAAGCCCTAATGATTGGTAGTGGCTACCTAGAGTACTAAGAAGATTCTAAGGACTCATCTGGGTTCAGTGGAGACGCATGCTACAAGTGATCACTAATGTCAGTATTGGATTTGGGAGGGGAGAGAAATGTCATGTATGCCATTTATTGGCCATTCTAGTACTAGTGGGACATATTCTATAGAAAGTTGGGGGATCTTGCCGCAGATTCTATATGCCCACTGATGCCACACCTGATTCTCTGGGTACCAGATACTGTATCTGAGATGAAAAGGCATAATTTCTACCTCACAGGGGAACAAAATGAAGCCATGAATATGAGAGTGCTTGAAGCATAACACACACGTGCACTCGCACACCCCAAAATGCTCACGGAGGGCAGGCGCTTAGTGTCCAGGGTCACCAAGCTGGAGAGTGGCACTTTTGAAAGTTGCTCCTGAGCCCTAGGCCTACTTTACTGTTTATGTGCACAGAGGTCCTGGCCCCTGGCCCTTGGAGCCCTCAGTCCCCTTCAGGTGAAGGTGCCTGGGTATGTGGTTGGGTGAGGAGGCCCCACTCCAGGAACCGGCCTCCTCCCTAGGTCTTGGATGCTGTCACCTCTGATGAGGTGCCCAGGTGTGTGTGGAGCTGCGATGTCCTCTGAGATGCTACATTTCTTGTAGGCTGTAAGACGCCTTTGCAGTCCTTCCTGGGAATTGCTGAGCAGCACGGGGGCCCCCAAAATGGGGTGAGTGTGTGCAGGGGTGCCCCTAAGTGGAGGGGTGTGGACGTGACTCAGGAGGAGGCTTGGGAGGTGTCCTGCTTAGCATGGCCCATGCGGACCTCCTTTCCACAATGCCCAAGGCCATGTCAGTGCCACACTGGCAGAGGGGACAGCTCGGGGGCCCTGTGGCACCAAATGAGCTGGCATGGCATCAGGAACTGAGGGGAGCTCCTGGGCCCCTCCCCATGTGGTACAGACCCTGATCACTCAGACTCTGAGCCAAGCCAACCCCACTGCCATCACTGCAGAAGAATACTTCAACCCCAACTTTGAGCTGGGCAACCGTGATATGGGCCGCCCCATGGAACTGACCACCAAGACACAGAAGTGAGGCCCCTGTCGGTGCTGGGAGGGTTGGGGGCTGGGGCTCCAGCAGATGCTTGGAGGCCATGGCTTCCTGCAGTGTCCCTCACCCCTTGGGATCTGGCGGGGGCAGGTTCAAGGCCAAGCTGTGGCTGTGTGAGGAGCATCCCCTGTCCCTGTGTGAGCAGGTGGCCCCCATCATTGACCTCATGGCTGTCAGCAATGCGCTTTTTGCCAAGCTCCGGGACTTCATCACCCTGCGCCTGCCTCCTGGCTTCCCGGTCAAAATTGGTGAGACCTCATGGCCATTTCCCCTGAGCCCGTGGCGTGCCGGCCGGGTTTAGATGAGGTCGGGGTGGAGCTGAGGCTGAGGTGTGAGGGGCTGGGTGGTGGCGCCTGATGGTTTCCTCATCCTCAGAAATCCCGATCTTCCACATCCTTAACGCCCGCATCACCTTTGGGAACCTCAACGGCTGCGACGAGCCGGTGCCATCAGTGCGAGGCAGCCCCAGCAGCGAGACGCCTTCCCCAGGCAGCGACTCCTCCAGCGTCAGCAGCTCCAGCTCCACGAGTGAGGCCCCCTTCCCGCGAGAACGCCTGCACCGCAGCTCTCCTGGCCGTGGGCTGGGGGAGGGAACGCCCCCTCAGCCGTGCGTGACCCAGCCCTGCGCCCCCAGCCTCCTGCCGCGGCTGCGAGATCTCCCCGGCGTTGTTCGAGGCCCCGCGTGGCTACAGCGTGATGGGCGGCCAGCGGGAGGCGGCGACCCGCGACGATGACGACGACCTGCTGCAGTTCGCCATCCAGCAGAGCCTGCTTGAGGCGGGCAGTGAGTACGACCAGGTGCGTCTCCGCGGGTGCGCGGGGCCACGGGACTGCGGCACCGCCCCGGCTAACGCCCACGCCTCCCCTCAGGTCACCATCTGGGAGGCGCTAACCAACAGCAAGCCAGGCACCCACCCCATGTCCTTCGAGAGTCGCCGACAGGACAGGTCAGTGCCCGCTGAGCCGGAGAGAATCCTCCGGAGAGGATCTTGTCTCCCCTAACCCAGGACACAGCCCGGAGAACCCGCGAGGCCCTCGGGAGGGACCTTCCTGGTATCAGGATGGTTTCCGCCACCACCCTTTCCTGGCTCCAAGGCGGCAGGCAGGGGGCAGGGATCGAGGTCTCACTGCGGCGTTCAGACTCTCCCCAGGCACTGACGGAGAGAACTTGGTAGGGGCTGGGCTCTGCTACGACCAGGTGGGGGCCAGGGCGACGCGGGACTAACCGCCTCCACTAGAGGGTGCTGGCCTTGCGCCGCCCTGGAGCCTCCACGCCAGGTCCCGGCTCCTGCCGGTGGGTGGGTGCGTCCGGGAGCCCGCGACATTCCTTCCCCGCCCCCAGGAGCGCCCCGCCCACGCCACAGCGCCAGCCTGCGCCCCCGGCATCAGTGCCCAGCCCTCGGCCCAGCCCGGGACCGGGTTCCGGCCGCCGCGTGTTCCGGAGCTACGACGAGCAGCTGCGGCTGGCGATGGAACTGTCGGCGCAGGAGCAGGAGGAGCGGCGGCGGCGCGCGCGTCAGGAGGAGGAGGAGCTGGAGCGCATCCTGAGGCTCTCACTGACCGAGCAGTAGCGCCCCCTGCTGGGCCCCTTGCCTGCGCCACGCGCGCCACGCCCATAGACTGGAGCCTGCGCGCCTGCCGAGCGGCGGCTGGAGACTGGAGCCACCACCTCGGGGATGCAGCAGTGGACCAGGCACGGTTCGGGGAGGGATTTGGCATGGGAGCGGAGTACCTTTCCAGGCCAGGGCCCTGGAGGCAGCTGGCACGGCCTGGTCCCCTGCTTTGCTGTATCCTGATCCCCAGCCCGGTCCCCTGGGCTCAGATCTGTCCAAGGGCGGAGCCAGGCGATCCCGAGGGGGAGATTAATCCTTAGAGGGGCGCTGTCCCCATCCCTTGCTCCTTCTGGCCGGTTCGCATTTCTGTTCACTAACCCCACTCCAGGACACTGCCCCTGAAGCCTTTGCATCTCTGCTCTTCACCCCTGGGGGGCAGCTGAGCTCCCCGCGTGCTGTGTCGCTGCTTTGTCCCAGACACAAACCAGCACGTCAAGGGCCCAGCCCCTCCCCCACCCCGGCATTTCAGCGTCAAGTGCACTTAGCGGGGTGCCCGGCTCCCCCAGCCCCCACACCCGTCCTGGGTCTCAGGGTGGTCCTAACTTCTTCTTGGGCAGCCAGAAGTTGGAGTCCCATCCCCCCCAAGGCACATTTTTTTTTTCTTTTTTGTGATCAGGGAGTGTGTCCAACGTAGCCCCCTGGCCTGGGCAAGCCCTGACTCCCTCATGGTGCCTCGGAGAGTGGGGAGCATATTGGGCTGGGGTAAGCACTAGACCGACTAGACTGGACACAAAGGGCTCGCCCAGGGCCCTGGCGCCACCCCCACCCCTTCCCACCAGCTGCTGCTAGCCTCTGTGGTTGTACATCCCACTTGTCCCCACACGGGGACTGACTCTAAAACCTTTCATCCAATGGTGCTAACCCCCGGCTCTTCCCTGCCCCACCTCACCTACCCAGAGAAGCACAGACCCCGCCAGGGGCAGGGGCCCACCGCACACCCTTGTCCCGGGCCTGTCTGGGACTGGCCTTCCCGGCTCAGCCAGTGAGGCTCAGAAGGGACACAAAAAGGGATGGAAGAAGAAAAGAACAAAGAGAAACTGTTCCTCCCACTCCCTTCCCTGATGCCAGGGGCACCAGACTGATTCTGAGGCACAATAAAAGAGGCTTCAAACTGGAGGCTTTTCCTGCCTGACTTTACTGGGGGACACCTACGGTGCAGGTTGGGGCCCTTCTGAACCTTAGAGTGGGGAGGGCTCTAGGGTAAGAGGCTGCCTGGTGGCTCCTGAGCCCAGGAGTGCATCGTCAGGTCTCCCAGGAGCCTGGGGGTGGCATTTGCAGAGGCTGGGGGGGTCTCATTCCCCTCACCCCCACCCATGCAGGAGGCAGAGACTGAAGCTTAGTAAAGTGTTTCATTCAGTATGTCTTGTTTTTCTCAGAGTCAAGGCAACGGCAGAGGGTTGGGGCAGTGTGTGTGTGTGTGTGTGTGTGTGTGTGAGATGAACCTAGTTCATCATGCCAGTTCTCTCGAGATTTCTCCGCGAGGGCTGCCTCGAGGAAGCCGCCCTCGCCCCTTGTCGGTGGAATGAAGGAGAGCTCTCTACCGTAGACCTCTGTGGGTGTAGCCACTGGGTCCGGCTCTGCAGCAAACGGGTTGTGTGTCTGCAGAACTGGGGTGACGCCCATTTGGTTTACCACTCAGGGTGATGGAATTCAGTGAGCTGATTAGGAGACACGCTGTCATTTTCCCCAGCCGGGGGGGACCCATTGAATCGCCACCCATTTGAGGTCAAGCTCAGGTTCCCCAATATCCCCAAGCAGCACCCTAATACTACTTTCCCTGCCCTGGGTGGAGGACAAAGGGGGGCACCACCTCGTCGTGCAGCACCATTGCTGAGCACCCCCCGGTGACCCCAGGCCTCCCTAGGCCAGCTCCAGCCGAGTCCCAGACGAGGCGGGTCTCCCCTACGCTCCCAGAGTCCTGGTCTCCCTTGAGGGGCGGAGTTCCCTTCCCAGTCCCGCCCCTGGCCCCAGCCCAAAAAGGTGGGGTCTGGAGTCCGGGACCACAAGCTGGGGCGGGGCCGAGCTTGTGCGCCCCGCCCTGGCGCGCGGAGCTAATCAGTGCCGTCCACCAGCTCGCACAGCATGTTCTCCAGAGCCGTGATGCGCTGCTCCTGGGCCTGCACTCGCTCGCGGAGGGCCTTGATCTCCTCCAGCAGCGTCTCCAGGGTGTGCTGCTGGGGCGGAGGATATAGAGGCCGTGTAGGATAGGGGCGGTAGCGGGGAGATGTAGATTGGGCCAGAGTGCAGCGGGGCGGATCTTACCGACAAGGGGGCGTCGCTGGCCGACTGGCTGCGGCGCGGACCGGAGGGCGGGCGGGCGTCCAAGATATTGCGTTTCGTGACCCGGAGCTCGCGATGCTTAGGGGGCACGTAGCCGTCCCTCAGCGAAATGAGCACAGGTTCGGCGTCCTGGCCGGCTAGCCATTCGTCCGCTTCTAGGGCTGGCTCCGGGCCCGGTGTATCCGGGTACAGATCGTCCTGGAACAGGTCTGACTGCGGGGGTGGGTTGACAGGCGGACCTGCATGAGAGAGGTGCGGGGCCTGCTCCGCTCCCTTCCGCCTCGTAGCCCTGCCCAACCCTTCTCCAGCCCCTCACCTTGCGGGGCACAGTCATGATGATAGGCTCACACTTTCTTTCGTGCAGCTTGTAGAACCTATAAGGGAGCAGGGTTCAGCACCCCTGTAGACTTCCACGTCCTTAACTTCTCCTGTCTGAGACCAAGGGGTTTGGAGGCCAACATTTGCAGAGCACCTACCATGCATATTGCACATTACACACATTTGGTTCTGTAGTAAAACACCGCTGATGGTGTGTTCACCATCATCTTATGGATGAGGAAACTGAAGTTGAGAATGTCAGGCTAGTGAGCGGTGGGTCTGGCACTGAAACAGAACTGTCCTATCCCTCTTCCCCCCTTTTCCAAAGCATTGCATTATTGGGGAAGCCCCATGGCTAGGACCCGACATGAGTGGGGGACAGAGGCAGGCAGGTGTTCGGAAGGGGCCAAGGCTGCTGACCGGGCGATCTCACACTTGCTGACATCCAGTCCCCTCTTGGGCATGAAACCCATGCCCCGCTGCGGCTCTTTGCTGCTGAACGTGTTCAGGTAATGGACAAAAGGCGGCTCGTCGGTAATCTCAAAGTACCGAATGCTGCTGTCGCCCTGCAAAACCAGTCGGTTCAGAGGCGAGCCGGACCAAGCCCTCCACATCGCCATCCAGCCCCGTCCTCCCTGCCCTGCCGTGAGCACCTTGCCACACAGGTAGACGATGCTGGAGTCGGGATCGTAAAAGGGCAGTAGGACCCCGTTGCTCGTGTCCATTTCCTGCAGTGCCACTGGCTCCTCGAAGTTGTTCTGCCCGAGCACAGGAGGCGTGACCAGCCCTGCCCCCATCTCCCGTGCTACTTCGGGACCCCCAGAAGCTCCTTTACGCTTCCTGCCCAACTCAAATCGTATGCCCCAAACCTCTAGTGACCAGAGTTGCAGGCCCCTCCCCTGGGCACATCGCTCCTCCTCCCCTGCGCAATCACTCCTCCTCCCCTGCACATATACCCGCTGCGCGCCGCATGCAGTCACAGCAAACCACCCCCAGGGACTCGGCATCACCAGGTGGGGGCACCAGCGCAGGATCCTTCACGCGACGCAGCAAAACTGGGCAGAGGGGTGGGTGTGAGGATGGCAGGCGCTGCAGAGGTGGCAGCAGCCTTCAGTCCTGTCCAGGTGGGCATGCCCTGCAGGTGGGGGGGGGGTGCTGGCCCCTGTCCCGTGATGCCAATCCCCGGGGCACACACCCCAAGCCTCCAGCTGCGTTACCGGGTCCCACAGGCCCAGCTCTCTCTGGCTCATGCGGGTGAAGCCCGTGGTGAAGATATGGCCCTGGCGTGTGAAGACGGCCCGCATGGGCCTCATCCCCTCGTGGGCTGCAAACCTCTCCTGGGGGGAGGGGGAGACAGGGAGGGGCATCACCCAGCTGCCTGCCCTGAGGAGCATGGAGGGATGAGCAACCAGCTTGCTGACTTGGTTGTGTAGGGTGGGGGAGCGGAGGCGGGGAAGAGACAAAAGGGGCCTAAGCACTCAGCTTCCTGCAGGGCCACGGCTGGCCCTTGACCTGGAGGGCATCCGGGCCTGGAGAGAGCAGGAGGCACGCGGCTCTCAGCGGATCCCGAACACTTAAGCGCGCTCAAAGGCCGATCCCTAGAGCAGGGGATGTCGGAGTCGCAGCGAGGCTTTTCCCGAACGGGAGCTCCCCGCTCCGCTCGGGTCTCTTGGGCGCCAGCCGCAGCCCGGGAGGGTGCCTCCCGGCAGACCCAGCGAAGAAGCGAGCGGGCGCAGCCTGGCCTACCGGGTCCCAGAGCGCGAGTTGCCGCTCACTCATCCTGCTGAAGCCGGTGCTGAGCAGCTTCCCGTCTGCGGTGAAGACAGCCCGCAGCGGGCGGGCGCCCTCGTGAGGCCGGGCTCGCTCCTGCTCGCGGGGTTGGTGGGTTAGAGCGCTGCACGCCCGCCCTGACCGCGCTCGACGCGTGTGCTCCACGTAGACATGCACGCGCCCCACGCACCCGCACCCCATGTTAGATTGAGGCCGGCGAGGCCAGGGCCGTCACCCTCCCAGGGCACCCGGCTGGAATAAGCAATGCGCAAGGGTTGCTCCCATTCCCCGCCTAGCGAGTCCACAAGGAGAAGGGGCCAGCCCTCGAGCCAGTGTCAGACCCCAGACCCTGAAAGATGCGTCTGGGTGCCGGCTGACAGGAGAGGGGTCCTGGAGCTCAGGTTTCATGCAGGTTCTGGTGGGAGGATGGAGTTTCCAGCTTCTCCCCTCCTCAATCCCAAAGCGAGGAACCCTTCTCTGAGCTTCTGAGATGCAAGGGAGGGGAGGGAACAGGAGCCCGGCAGAGAATTGCAGGCTGGGGGCTTACTTAGGGCAGAGACCTGTGGTTGCAGAGACGGGGGAAGGGGGCTAGTCTCTGGAGCAGGGATGTGACAGGTGAAAGCCAGGACCAGGGGCTCTGATGATGGTGGGTACAGGGTGCTGACAGCTGGCCACTGGTCAGGGGTGCTGGGGAGTGGCCAGGCCAGGCACTCACCGCCACCACTTGGCCTTTTCGGGGGTCAATGATGCGCAAGGTCTTGTCCTTGCAGGTGGTGGCTAGCAGGCTACCGTTGCTGTTCCAGCACACACTGTGAATGACGTCTGGGTGCATATCATCCAGGCTCAGCAGCACCTCCCCAGTGCCCACATTCCAGATGATGATCACATTGTCACCACCTGCCCAGAGTAGCCAGGCATGGTTACCTGGATCTGGCCTTTGCCACCGCCCACCCATCTTCGGGGGAACCCTCCCTGGCTCCCAGACCTGCACTGAGCAGGACATTCCTGGCAGTAGGGTGCCAGGAGAGGATGCCCACACGCTTGGAGTGGCCCTCAAGTGTGATGATAGGTTCCGTAATGTTGCGCATGGGGGTATAGTCTGGAATCTGCCACACCTGGGTAGGAAGAAAAGGCATACGGTGGGTGGAATGAGGAGCCAGCCCTTCCCTACCTTCCTTTAATCCTACTGGCTCTCTTGAGCGGTAAGGGTCAAATACAGGGCAAGATGTGGTGGTGCATGCCTAGGGCAGAAGCAGCTGGGAGCCAGGAGGGGGCACTGCCAGCTCTCCAGAGACCTCCCATTCATTCCATCAGGGAGACTTCAGAGCATGGCTCTGCGCTCTTCAAGTTGGCTGTGGCTATAATTAGTCCTAAGCAGTGCATCCTGGGAGGGATTGGGCATATAGCTAAAAATAGTCTGGGAGCTGGGCAGGGCAGGGACCTGGGACCCAGCACCTCCCTTATTACCATCCTTAGCACCTTCCCCAGCACAGGTGAGGCAGCCTTCCCTGCTCAACTGCCCAGCAGTAGCCGCCTGGCTCCTACCATGACGGTGGTGTCGTCTGAGGCACTGGCGATGACGTTGTCATTGTGTGGACACCAGTCAATATCCAGCACAGGAGCAGTGTGCCCAGTGACCAGTGGGAAGTTCTTATCCACTCGCCCTGTCTGAGGGTTTGGAGAGGAAGATGTGGGGCTACTCTCCTGTGAGCTTTTTGGCGGGTGGGTAGCAGATCTGTTTACATCTC